TGCTAGAAATTGTGATAATGAGTAAAAAAACTCTTGTCAGCCATGAAACGGTCAAATTGATTTTGAAAGGGAAATTACCTTCTGAGCTCGTCCCATCCTCGCTTTACTTCAGCAATTTGCAGAGCTATTTGATCTGTTGCATAATGTTTATTAGAAATTAATTTATTGCCCGCTTTAACCGTGGATTGAATACGACCTTCATTGGCTTCTAATTCAGCATCAAATGTTAAGTGTTTTTGCAACTTAGCTCTAAATAATCATGAGTATACAAACCTTAACCAACAAAAAGCATTCAAAATTTTCTAATAGATCACAAATGATGAAAATCAAAGCATAAATGACATATGGAAAAATGACGGCAAAGAAAGCTAAAATTTGACTTGGTGAAGTGAACAATGAATATAGTAAAGTTCGACTAGCGTTTTATAACAAAAACTAATTTATAACTCAAATAGTATATGTTTTTCGCTAATTAAAGGATAGTACTCTATAACAATGCATAATTTTTCAATTTCAAATCTGAACATAAAACAGATTGGAAATATTTTTCAAAATTATTTACGAGATATTAAAGCAAAACTAATAACCTCAAATTAGTTTGATCGAGAAAGCTTTCATCGTATGCAAGCTGAATATTGGCGTTAATCCACGTCATCAACTCACCACAGCTATCAATGAATTCATGTAGTTTACGCGATTCATTCAACAACTCATGACGTCGCTTGCATGATTCCATGAGCACTGTATGTCGGGTCACTACCGTATCTCGTCTAAATTTTTTTCCTTCATCTCAAATTATTTTACTATCAAAGACTACGAGAAAGAAAGGCGTTTTCAATATTACTACATAAAAGACAAATAAATAAAATTTTAATACGTTATTCTAGTAAAATAAAACAAATTTTGCTTTTCAAAAATCGTGTACATTTTCTCAATTTCTTCTCGATATTCCGAATCACACTGTACCAGCTCATCAGCATCTTTTTTCAAAGCATCAATTTTATCACTCTGAGCAATAAGAGTCTTCTCGAAATCATTATGCTTCTTTAGTAATGAATCGACGGCTACAACACTTTCGCCCATGCCAGCCTAAAAAGCTCATGCAGGTCAACAAAAACTTTGCGATAATAAATAAATTCAATTTTAAATGACAATAAGAAAACAGGACACAAAAGAAGAACAAATAAATATGGTAAATCGCTCATGGATTCCCGAATTTTTTGCTCGCAACAATCTAATATAAATGTATATCAGATATAATAAAGTTGAACCAAAGTTTTCACCTGATTCAAAAAGGTTTCTTTAGAAGCAAGCCAGTGTTCAGCACGAGCAGCCTGATCAGCAAACAATTGATGATTTCGAGCTCGAGCTAAAGCAGCATTTCGAGCTTCCCAACTCTGACGCAACTGATGCTCCACATTTTGCAACCGTTTCAACGCTCGCTGTATTTCACTTCTGTGTTCTGATTGTTTAGCAACCAGTTTTGCACTCCACTCTCGTAATTCAGACATCTCAGACTTTAAAATTTATAGAGATTATACAACTACTGCGAGACAAATAAACTGCAATTAAATTTTCAGAATGCACTTTTAATATTAACTCGCAAAATTTTTAGAAATAAACAACAAAAAGCAGTTCATCTAATATTTTTGTAGGACACTTATTCTCTTTTTAAAAAAAATCAACACTTTTTATATTTTGAATGACTAGAACCTGTCTTCCATCGATTTCAGCAAGTTTTTCAGTATGCCTAGCAATCATTGCATCAGCATCCGCTACAGAACGTGGAGTTTCTTGCGTTGTAAAACGACTGAGAGCATCCATTGCCCATATTTCAGCTTTGCGCACTGCATCGAGAAACTTATGCAAATCACCAGAAGCCATTAAAGCTTGTCCTCTGAAAATGTGAAAGAAGGAATTATGAAATAATAAAATTGAATAATAAAAGAAACCACACGTTTACTGAAACCGACTGCTTTTAAAACGCCAATGAAAGTTAAAACGAGAAAAACAACCGTGCTGTTGCTCGTCCAACCAATTGCTCCCAAAATGTTTCTAGCTTCTGTAATGATTCTATAACTGAATTTCGTAGTGGAGGATTCTTATCCAGTAACTTCTGAGCCTCACTGTCATGCGCCTAAAAATAGTGATTCAGATGAAATAATTTAAGATTCTTATCATACCTTTACATTTTTTCTGACTTCTCCTCTTCTTTCAATAAGACTTCTCATCAGAACATTAATTTGTTTGCTTAATACACCATAAACTATAAACATTACAGAAATTGGAAGGTATAGTGACAATATTTTAGAGAAAATGACTTCTACCTCTTCATTATTGCGAGCTACGAATTGCCGAGTATTTTCACATTTTATTTTCCATTGCATAATCATGAATTTTGAAGTGAGTTATTTAATTTATAAAGGAAACAAATACTTGTTGGTGGCTTTCACAATGTGATAATTAACATTTTACCTTAAGCTTTTCGTGGATAACAGTCATATCTCTTTCGACCGTTTCCTGTTTACGAATCAGTGTTTCAACGGAATGCAAGTCCCTTCCAAGATCATCATTCGTAACAGCAGTAAGCTTCTCTTGTATCCTCTCACAAGTATCATCAACATCACGATTAAATGCATGAACTTCAAGAGCTGCTCGTAATTCTGAGCGATATGTACTGAGCTTGCTTTGTATCAACGCCCAACTGAAAATTTATTAAAATTCTATCAAAACGTTTTAACTGTTTCTTATTCTGACACTGTTTTAATCACATTTCTCATTAATGAGATTTTATTATAAACATAAATACAGTTTTTGATTTCACCTAAAAATGCTTCTTAAAAAACATGTTCTTAGAACTGTTTTACAAAGTCAAAACTAACGCATCATTTAGTTCTTTAAGTTGCCGTTGAACTTCATCCTTTGACGAACGTCCTTGCGAGATCAATTTTTTACCCAACTGATTTACAGAGTTGACAGTAGTATGATCAACACTCGCATCTGCTTGCGTACCATCTAATTTCTCCAGCAAAGCTAAACAGTGCTCCATGTCTCGACCCATGTCACCTGCACTGACCAGCAATTCTCTTTCCTGTGAATTGATTCTGTATACATCTCAATATCAATTTTCAACTTCATTATACTTTACACAATGTATTCATCTTTCACAGCAAAGTTCAAAAATGAGTGGTTTTTAGGAGGAAATTTTAGGTGGCTTTCAAGTTTAATATATTTTAAAAAAATTCATTTGCCGTACCTTTATCCACTGCATAACTCGTTCTACAAGTTGTTTAAAGTCTAGCAAATCTCGAGCTTCCTCAAGTGCACTACTCTGATCGCGCGACATAGTCACCAGTTCATTCCAATGTTTAAGCATTCCCGATGTTCTGAATTTTACTTTGTTTTACTTGTAACTGTATGATTTCATTACTATTTCCCAGAAAATTAGAAAAATGGAAACACAAAAATTAACCTTTTGTTAATGTCATGAGCATCGTTGGTAGGTTTGGATGCCAGTACTTCTGCGCGTTTCGCAATTTCTTGAATACGTGATTCATTTGTAGATAGTTCAGCTTCCAATGCCTATAAAAAAGTACATGCAACTAATACAAATCCCATTCTCGATATTAAAATTTTAAAAAATTACGAAGTGCATTATTGAATATAATATTCAGCAAATATTAACCTGATGCTTCTGAAGACGTTTCATTTTATCTTCTATACTAGTCAGTTTTGCTTGTCGATCGCTTTCAGCAATTATTCTTTTACGTTTATCGTCAATCCAGCTTTCCATCTCCATAATATCACTATTGAATCGAGCCAAATCCAATGCATCGTTTAGATTACTTTTTCGAACATTTACCTCTACTTTAAGCTGTGTCAAAGCATTCTCCACCTTAATTAAAATAAATTAAAGAAAAAAAAATTCCATAAAAGAATTCCACTTACTTTTCAAAAATTTAACGAATGTTCTGCACTTTTGTTCTCCAGATTTCAATCTTTCAATATTTTCTCAAAACGTATTATTTTTCCCAAAAATAAATGCTCGGATTTTATTGCTCTTACATAGTCGAAATTTGTAGCAGAATTAATTAGCATGGTGGAAACTACTGGTTAATTTCTGTTTATCTCGTTAACATTATCAATATAGAACTACAAAAAGAAGTAAGACAATTATAATAAAATATTAGAGGATATTTCAAGTTCAAAGTAAAGAAATCTTCAGCTGAAATAAAAGAGTAAGTTCGATTCGCATTAACAGTAAAATGTGTTTGAAATATTATAAATGGTTTCAAAACATTAATAACACAACTTCCCAACCTGTCTCATAAGTAAGCTGATTTTTGATGATTCGACATGTCTAGCAGTGACTAGTTCTTTAGCAGTCTTTTGTAAAACATAAATCCGGTCGTCGAGAGTGGTAAGTGCTTTCTCAAATGTTTCCACCTTTTTGATTTGACTTTCAACTTCATCCACAGTTCCTCCAATCTTAATCGAAATAATGCTGAATTTACCTAATAACAAATTTAAAAAATACTGAAGACCACACTTCATAAATTCATTTGCTTTGCTATATAATTTCTAAATATAACTCATATTATTTTTAAAATACCTCTCCATAACAGAGCGTCGCTTGTCGAGCCGCAATTGTAGCTAGAATTTGTTTGGCTTCTCGTTGAAATGCGTGCCAATCACGTACTTGAGACAACCACTCACGTCGTGCAGTCCATTCCTCATGAACTTGTTTTAATGCACGATCAACCTAGGGAAAATATATTAAGAGAAGGTGACAAGAGTAATTGTCGCAATTTCAGATAAATATTTAAAACGTATTTTTCCAAAATCCGAATTTTTTACATGAAAAAAAAAATCTTTTATAGATTGATTTCTATAATTCTTATTTCACAGCTAATTTTTCTTACCTGCTTCAATTTTTCTTCAATTTCTGCACTTGCATAATGTTCATTTGCTTTCATTCTTTCACCACGAGCAGCTAGTTTAGAGAATTCAGGTTCACGCGCTTCAATTTCAGCCTAAAAACTACATTTTATGCCAAGTAACAAACTTTAAATGATTTTAAAGCAACTACAAACTTATCATGCAAATTAAGATCAAATTAGACAGAATGAAAGACGAAAACAGAAGACGATTTCAGATATTAAGGAATGGTTGATTTTAAACCGACCGCTAACCAGAGGAATAATTTCTGCATAATTCTCTTCTCAACAACCGGTATTATGAAAAAACGCCAACTGGAAAAATTAACTGAAGTGAGTCTATTGATATTACAGTAATTTTTTATCCATTAGTTAATTTTTATCAATGCACTGGTTTTCTTGATATGCTTAATTTCACCTGCAGTTGCAGATGTTCTTTCTGAAGCCATTCAGCACCTTGTAAATCGTGCACAGTTTGCTCGCTCTGCATATCACGAATGATTACTTCTGTCCAGGCTAACAAATCACGGGCCTAAAATATATAAACAAAATCAGTTGGAATTAACGAGACAAAAGATATTTTTACCAGATGAATGACACTTTTAGAGCTTTCAAGTTTAAAAGAAAAATTTACATGACATCAGAAAATCAAAAGGAATATATCTCACTGCAATAAAATTTTCTGAAATCATTCGAAAACGAGTTACAACTTACGTTTGCGTAAAAGCGCTGGAAATCATATGCAGCTTTCAGCATATCGCGTCGTGAAACAGTAGCATCTTGTAAATCTTGCCAAGCCTCAGCTAACGCCGTTTGTTGTGATGTAATATGCTCTGCATTACCTCCAGGATAAGCAGCTTTCAAGCGTGCACTTTCTTCTAATAGATCATGTAGCTGTTGCTCCATGGCACCCAGTTGATTTTCAAATGCTTCGTGTTTCAGCCATAAAGAGTGAACTTGTTTGATGTCCTTACCAAGTTCTGAAGGAATCGAAGCTTGCTTTTCAGCTATCCGTTCCTGATTCTCAGCAACATCGCGATTAAAACGATGCAACTCTTGAGCTACATCAAGTTTTTGATCACGACTCTGAATATAATCGAGCAGAAGCGTCCACACAGATCTGAAAGAAAATAAACAGACAATTTTTAGAAAAAGTAGGGAAATAACAAGAAGCAACAGATTAGCTAATTTAGCAAATGTAAAGAATTATTTACCTTAGTTTTTCCTGCCGCTTCAAGATATCTCGAGCGAAAGGTGGATTTCGTTTCAGTAAGGTATTTGCTGCTGCTTCACAATGTACAAACCTTTCGCTACCGGTTTTGACACTTTGTTTGAAATCTTCGAAACGATTTTGCAGTTCCTGAATTTGGAAATGCTTCACGCTTTGACTTTTAGGCATGTAAACATTTGATAATAGATCTTTTCATATGTACAAAAACAACATTTCCAGCATAACATGGTTATTTTCCTAAATTTCGTGTTAATAATCTGCTTCGTTTTCATTTTTTACATTTTAAATCTTTAGTAGTAATTCAAAAAGAGATGACTTCACTCGCAATCGACTGAAAATTTTTTAATAAAAGAATAAAAATTCTTTTAAATGAAACCTTTAAATGTTCGTAATCTATCCCATAATCTTCGCTCATCGCAATCTGTAACTGCTCATTAATCCATGTTTCTAAATCATGGGTTTCACGCAAATACTGATATAAATACACAGCATTTTCAAGTTGAACCCTTCTTTGTTCCGCCAATTTTGAAAGCATTTCAAATTCATTTTCCAATTCTACTTGTCTCGTCACAAATCTTTCATTGTTTGATTTATTTAAATTTTTCAGATCTTCACACTGAACAGCTAATTTCTGCAACCACTGCCTATAAATTAATTTTAAAAAATTTTTTTAAATAACCAAACAAGGATGGTACTTTAATTTGAACGCAAACTGAGAAGTTGTAGAAAGTGTGATAAAGTCTCCAATCCCATATAACCATCGAACAAACTATTTTTTCAGCACTCATTTAAACACTGCAAATTTTTGAGAACTACGACTAAGTATCACACCACATTGCAAAGAATAATAACTGAAAACAAGTTTCACTGGAGCTTACTTATATGCAGCCATATCAGTTTGCAAAGCTTTATGCTTAGCTAACAACTTCTGAGCCATATCTTCATCTTGACCATAATCTTTTGAAGTCAAAGCTTCACGTTTCTCATTCATCCAAGATTCAACCTAAAATAGAGACTAATAACGACATCGAAAATCCAGACAAAATTCAAGGACAAAATTATTTGACCTCAATAAATTTTAGTTTATAGACTTGAGGAAGCAAAGAACAAAAACAATAATTACCTCTGCTGCATCGAACATATACTGCTCTTCTCTCAGTGCCCAATCTAATAAATTTTTTCGTTTACTCATTAAACTATCCAACTGCAACCAAGTCTCCAAAAGCTGCAAAAGAAAAATAAGCAAATATATATTTCGCATTTTTTCAATTCTAAGAATTAAAATTATACAAATAAAAGTAATGCATACCTGACCACATTTACTTTTTATTTGCTCTTTAGCGTAATGCTCCTCTTCAACCAGCTCATTACCACGCTGTAATGTCTGCTCGATATGAGGTAATCGTGATGCCACTTCTGCCTGAAATTTATGAAATGTTGTTTAAAACTGATGTCAATAATCTGTTCTTGAAGAAGCTTATACTTTGATAACAAAACTGCAAATTGCAAATAAAGCATTAAAATTTCAAAGTTTTTTTTTTTCAACAAAAGCTGCAAGAAACAGCGGAGAACAATTCCAAATATTAAAGTGAGAATAAGAAATGAACATGCCATTTACTTTTTTTTACTATCAAACGTACCTCTAACTGCTCGTGTTTTTTTTGCATGTTGGTAGCTTCTGTTAGTGAACGACCAGTTTCTTCCGATGCTGCAATTGGTACTTTTTCTGAAATCCAATGCATTTCACAATCAACATCAAATGAGAGCTGGTGCCATTTTAAGCTTTCTTCTAGAGCAATTCTACGATCTTCCGCTGGTTTTTTCAACGATTCAAATCTGGAATATTATGTTAGCATTAGCAATAAAGAATTTAAACATTTAATACCGCTGCAATTTCTAATTATAATTCATAAAACTAGCAAATGTAATAAAGAAACATTCATCAACATAGAAATGATTAAATTAACCGAGAATTTCACTATTAAAAAGTCTTTACGATTTTCTGAACTATCTACAGAACACAGGAAATTTAAATCTATGGAAACAAAAAAAGTCAATATAACCTGTCAATAAGCTTCTGTACAGCTTTTGTGATAGTGAACGAATCAAAATGTTTTTGTTGTACCATCACATTTGCTTTTTCTCTCATTTCAATGATTCTTTTTTCAAAAACAGTCATATCCTTTTCTACCATCACCTGCTTATAGATCAATTCTTTTACACCACGCAAATCTGATCCCAAATCTTTGGAACTCAGTGATGATTCTATTTCATCTAATTTCAAATGCGCATCATCTAAAGCACTATTCAATCCTTTTTGATGTTCAGCTTGCTTTAAACGTTCTCCTTTAATGTTTGCTGCGCGTATTAATTCGGCCCATTCTGTATTTACACCATCTAATAATTTTCGCATGGATTTTGATTCATAATGCTGGGTTGATATAAGTGCATTTCCTTCCTAAATCATTGATAATTGCTATAAATTTTTTTCCAGAAATAGACGATGCTTCCAATAATGTTTTTTTTTGCAATAATTCTAAATAATATCAGTGTGCCATACTCAATTATTGAACAATATACATATATATTAATAATGATTAACTTGAGCTAACCGCATTTAGTTCATCTAAACGTGCTGAGTTTGCTTTCAATTCCGCTTCAAATGCCTTGTGTTTTAATAATTTCATAGCAATTGACGCAAAATCTCGATATGAATCGTCATTAGCAATTTTCTTCTTTTCCACTATCCATTGCGACAGTTCCTGAATATTCCGGCGTAGATTTTGAAACTGTAGCGATGCTTCCAGTAATGCTCGTCGTTTAGCGGCCGCTTGATGGACTGCTAATCGGTGTGAAAGTACATCATCAACACGCTAAATTTTGAGAAACTTAATTTTCACACGACTTCAAAAAAATGATAATGAACTGAATTAAAACCTTTTTAATAAATTCAGCTTCGCTATGTTTTGCCTGGATTAACTGATCAGCACTTCTCACAAAAACTTTCAAACGATCTTCTTGAGCTCGAAGTTTTGCTTCGAAATCTGTGTGACGTTTCAACAGATTTTCAGCTATCTCCACCGAATCCTAAACATAACTTATTTTAAATAATCGAAAAATAAATCAGAAGTACGAATGTTAAAATAAACTTGTTTAAGGAGCCATATTTAAATACCCCAAAGTACGTTTCCAAATACTTTAAACCTATTCCAAAGTATTACTCCTAAGTTTGAAAGCTCGAGAAAAGCTTCATGTCCTTTTGTAGCTGCATCAATTCTTTCTGCCTCTGTGTTTAGCAACTGCAAATCTAGAAGTTCTTTTAATCGTCGCTCCTTTTTCTTCCACGATGAATTCAATGATTCTTGTTCGATGTCCACTTTTCTGAGATTTTCTCTCACCTGAAAAATGTGAAGTATAATAATGGATCATAGTAAATCTCCAATAAAATTTTGCTCGACAACTGTAAACACGAATCTTCAATACTGATGTCTGAACTATTTCAATTTTCTCAAATAAAAAATAAGTTTCATCGTTTCTCTTATCTTTTACTTTAATATTACTACACAATCATCTAAAATTTTGATTTTTTTTAGTACTTTATCTAAATTCCACATGGATAACACAAACATCTTCAAGCGATGGATTCTTTTGAAGCAAACGTCGACCAAGGTCACGCACATAGTCAAATTCGTACTTATTACCAGTTATGACGTCGTTCAGTTCATAATGCTTCTTCAGTAGTTCTTCAGCTGATGACACATCAACTGGTCGAGTATTATCAGCTAAAGCTACCTTTGTTTTCTCAATCCATGTTTGCAAATTTCTAAAAAGAATGCAATTCTCCAGTAGAAGTAACAGTTAAACGTGCATTAGATGAAGGAAGTAGTAAAAAATTATAAAGTTTTGAAATGATATAACTGAATGTAAATTAATACTGATTTCGCAATAAGCATCGCCAAAAATGAGCTGACAGTTTTTTTTTTTTAAATGTGCTTCAGCTTAAGATAATTTTCTACTTTTTAAAGAAAACACATACTTTACAGCGTTATCGAACATCTGACGTCCTTGCGTTTGTTCTGCTTCTTCGATACGTGCAGCTGACTTTTGCTTCAATTCATTATGCATTGCAATCAGTTCCTTGATCATTTGTTCGATTCTTGCAGCTTCTTCCGGGTGTTCTTTTTTAACCTTATATATTCCAATTTGATTTAAACTAATAGTAATCATCATTTAAAAGTTTATTTTCACTTACCATCGTTAATTCAATTTTACTATTATGGAAATTAAATTCTAATAATAAAAAATCATGGTAGACCTCAAAGTTTTAAATCAAACTTATACACACATTTTAAAAGCGATAAATACACTTTACATGATGATAACCTCGTTAGCAAGTTGTCGTAAATAACAGATTTTTTCTTCCAACGGTTTAAGATCTTTCCCTAAATTTTGGTAACGCTTTTGTATCGTTTGAACAGCTTTTGGATCATTCATGTCAACCTTATGCTCCAATAAATCAAATTTGTCCTGCATCCAGGAGCGGGCATCTTCACAAGTTTCATTGAATGCTGCGACTCTTTCTGCAGCTTCCTGAAGCACTCTTGAATTAAATCAACTATTCAATCATTTAAAAAAAATATTTACTTGCTACACAATCAAAATATGCATTTGCTCACAAGTTGTCGCTGTTTCATCTTCAAAAGATTCAATATTTTATTCCACAAAAGATTTGCTTCATCCTGACGTCGCCGAATCTCATCACTATGAGTATGACCCTCGTTGATAAATTCTTCGGCAAAATCATTAATAACTTTCAACTGTATCTCACCATTTGCACTTATTTCATTTTCAAGTTTCTAAAAATTGAATCAAATGAACTTCAAAAAAGTACTATCAGAATCACTTTTCTAGTAAATAGAAATACTTCGCCATCTGAATAAACGCAAAGTAATTCTTATATTTGAAATCACTGGAAAGAGACTTTAAAATTAATTTTTTTAGGAACAAAATCTGTGCTTATTTTAGGATGCAATGAAATTTTATTTATGATAGAATTTTTATGTAATAAACGAAAAAACCTGACAACAAACATCCATATTCACTCTCATTTTCCAACATCCATTAAATGAAGTAAAAAAAAAACATTTATCTTAATCTAAAGCATGTATTTCTGAATCACAGTTCGCAAAACCCTAAATAGCTCATAAATCGAAGCAATTTATTTAAAAAACGAAAATAAAAGCTTCCTTTACCATACATTGAATTTTTTCCTTGAAGCTTTCACATTTTCTGAAGCTGTGCTATCCGCAAGAGCAGTCTTAGTTTCTTTTGCCCATGTTTCAAATTCATCACACTCACGTAAAAACTTGTACAGTTTAATCATATCAATTAAAAGTCTTCTTCGTTCCTGAAATTATTTACAATGATTAATATAAAAATGAAAGTAAAAAACTTTCGTGTGAAAATTCTGTAAACTTTTACAAACAAAGCTGCAACGAAAGAATGAAAACAAATACTTAAGCATTTATTAGGGTAGTTGCAAAACATCGAGCAGTAAATGTTAATCAAAACAAGCATTTGCTTTACCTGTGCAAGATTATTCAAATTCCGATAACCGGCACTGATGGCTTCTTGACGTTGCAATATTGCATGACGAGAATCTTGTGGTTCACGTTCTGCTTCCCTAGCAGTTATTGTTTGTGCAACCGTCACTGTTTCGCCCTCCACAATTTTGCAGTAATTTGCAGGAACATAACCTTCGGTACCGTCTCGCTTCAGAATACTCCACCAGTCATTGTTTGTTTTTTCAATCAATGCTAATATCTAAACAAATAATTTAAAACAAAACTTCTTTATTGACATGCAAATTATATAGGCTGAGACATCAAAAAATATCCCTGCTATATTAAAATTAAAGTTCATTCACCTCATCTTTTTTGACTTCAATACCATCTCGAGAATAAGGATAAAGCATAATCACTTGAGGTACAATAAGCTCTTCCGTATCTTCTTTTACACGAACAACAGCACCCGCAATAAATTCTGTATTTACCATCTCTCTAGCCATTTCTTCGAGTTTTATAATATCTGCTCTATAAGCTTGGATCTCTTCTTCCAAGTGCATATGCCTGTAAAATAAAGCTTGTAATACAGATTCTCAGTAAAGAATTAAAAATATAACCTTCTCAATACTAAGAATCAAGACTTGAAATTTTTAAAAATAACCTCGATAACAAATTTTCTGATGCTTGCTCATCACGCCCATAATCATTACTTTTAACGAGCGGAAGTTTTTCACGAATCCAACTTTCAGCTTCATTTGCATCTTGAAAGTACTGATGCGCCTGCTCAGCTTCACGTAACCATTTCCCAACCGCTTCTGTCACCTAAAAACAATATAGGAATAAAAAGTACGCAAATTTAGGAATATTATACTTTTTCTGCTTCAAAATGTTTATTCTTAAAACGAATCATGAGTTTGGAAACAAGCAACAACTACGGATAAAACTGCACTTTTGTACCAATTGTGAAAGCATTTTCAGCATGCGTACAAAATAAATTTTTCGCAACAGATAATTTTTACAAAAACTATACAAAATTACAGAAACTGTTTGACTACCTTTCTCAAATGCTCCCATTTTGTGTGTAAATTATAGATTCGGGTTTGAATATCTTCTTTATTCTGACCCGCTCCTATAAGACGTTCTCCAGCTGCGATGACTACCTTTGCTCGCTGCCAGTGTCCTTCCATTTCTGTTTCCAAATTCTAAAAATCAAATATTTAATTTTTTGATGCAATACCTTCAAAAAAACAATTCAAATGTTTTGAAAAAAAAAATTCTATTTGATAAGAAAAAAGAAACTACAAAAAAAACACCACCTTAAAAATGCGTCTGAATTGTGCAGTGGCCGAAAGATCTTTATTTTTGAGTAATGAAATGCACAAATTTTCTTTCTCTTGTAACCAACTAATTTCTTCTTCATGATCTTGAATGAAACGATACAAATCACGAGCACGATACAATGCTATTCTGCGTTGTTGACATAGTTGTAAAACACTGGAAATTCAAATATTTTGGAACAAAATTATCAATGCTTAAACAAATATGCCAATTGAGCCAATGACATGTTACTCAGAACAATTTTTGTAATTCCGAATAACCTGATTAATACGTTTCAATTTTCTGTAAGCCATTTACTTATTGTTTTCATTGTAAAAAATGAAATTTTCCAGAAGTTTTCAGTTTCCTAAATATCAGATATGAAAATATGATCCTCAGCAAAAAACTAAAATATATTTAAATTTCAAGACTACCTGTCATAAAGTACGCTAACATCATCTAATTTTCTCTGCAGTACATCGCATTGCTCGCCTTTTCCTCGGATATAATCTAATCCCTGAGATGTTACATTTTTCAACAATTCTCCTTGTGAGTTTAGTTGTGCTTCCAGGATTTCTTGTTTACCAAGCAAATCTTCCACCCCCAATAAATGTTTGCCAAAATCGCGACTTCGAAATTGTGGCTGAATAAATAGAATAAAATTATTAATAATATACTCAGTAAAAATAATCATGAAAACATATACGAGAGAACAAATAGTGCATAGAATAATCAGAAAGTAACTAGAAGCATTAGATTTAGAACAAATTAAACGAGTTATCAGTAAGAAATACTAAATCAAAAGTTAAGCATAACTGTTGCGAATGAAAATTGTAAAATCTTAAGGTGGAATGATATAATTTTTGCTTTAAATAGAGTAAGATAAAATTATGTTACTTCAAGAGCACGAATCTCAGATGATAATGTCCCAATATCTCGAAGCAAACTCATCAAATCGCTTAATGACAAGAGTGCGCGACGTCTTGCTTCCAAAGCTGATAATAACAGTGACCATTTTTCTAATAGTTCACGTTCACGAATTCGTATTTTGTCGCTGTCATGATAATTTTCTTTGGATAATTCAGCAGCCATCAATGATAACGACTTGAATCGATCTTCCTAAAAAAAATATCATTATATCATCTACAATATATTTAATTAAATTTTAATAAGAAAATTTAGAACTTTTTATTTACAAAAATTTGCAATTAAATTAAAATTATTATACCAAAAACAAATAAATGATACAAATATTGTCATACATATAAGAATTAAAAGAAGGAATAGTTCAACAAACTCTAGGTAAAATATCAGCAGCAATAGCTTGTTGCTTTTTTAATGATGCTTCTACTTGAGCAATATTTCGCCCCAAATCAAAATCTTTCAAAACAGAACTCATTTCTCGTAACCATGCATCTCGCAATCCCGCTTTTCTTTCAAATTTTTGAGCCATTAGCTCCAACCGTTCTTGTCTAAATTTTCTCTGCATTAATTCACTAATTAAAATCATTAAAGTACTTAAATTAGTTTTTTCTTCTTTCTTAAAAAGAGAAGCAAGCAATTAAACGTTAATAATTTTAAATAATTCTATATTTATTACCTATTTTCGCTAAATTTTTTCACATATGACTCAAAAATTTACTTATTCAATACAAATAAATATTAAAAAATATACTAAATACTTTTCGAATAAATTTAAATTATTCAATAAAGATACTAACCGTCGTAACTCCATCATTAAAGCTAACTGCCTTTCATTTTCAGAATGATCAAGTAGCGCCCATGCTGACTCAATATCATGCATAAATAAACCTGAAGTATAAATTTCTTGAAACATTTTCTGCAAAAAAGTTAAATGAGTAACCACTGCTTAAAAAGATATACATAATGGTTAATAATTCAGAAGTATCAAATAATAGAACTATCATTAAATAATTTAAGAAATACCCGCTTTTGGAATATATGGTTTTCGTCCCATTGCTTTTCTTTTCGTTTGTATCGTAAAAAATAATGCTTCTAACTCTCCTTTTTCCTTGTACCTATAATTATTATTAAATACAAATATTTTAAGCTTATGTTTAAAAAAAAACTGAACACATAATGTTTCTATTGTATCAAAAACTTAATCATAATTCATTCAAATAACTTTTAATAGTAATGTTTAGGCGAAGTAATATACAAATATTGCTTAATAAATACTTTGGAGGTTTTTCAACAGTACGATAATTCTTAAAAACCAATAATTCATCTTGAATTCCTTTTAATGAATTTGGAAATCGTCGGTCATTCAGTATAGCAATTGTTTGCTGTATCCAAAGAAGTAATTCCGAACACAGCATCTCATATTCTTCTTGAAGTCGATCCGAAGACATCAGATTACCAACGATCTAAACGAATATAAATTAATGATAAATTTTTTCTCATTACAATTTCAGAAAATTTTGTTAATTGTTCATAAGATATCATAACTACATAAAGTAATACATGCAAATTTCATTTCTTATAAATTATTTGAACTTTAACCTCAGTAAACTAAATAGTACAAATATGCATTATTGAATAGCGAATACTGCTATTAATTTGAGATAAAACAACTGAGGTAATTCAGCAAAAATATTAAATTAAATGATTAATAAGAGGAAATTAATTACCTTTGCTACTCGTCTAGCACCAGTCATTTCTGTTTTTTGCTTGGCAAAATGATGATAATAAAGTGAGACATATGTAATAACTGATTTTTCATCTGGGTGTGCTACGGTAACATCTTCTGCGTCTAACAAACGTGCAATTTCTAATTTTTTTTCCGCCACGTCAAATGCATTATTTAAATTTCCAATTGCATCCAGAGGTGATAAGTCTTCATAATTGACCAAATCTGGCCTTAAAAATATATTATTAATGATAAACATAAGTAAAAATATCTTATAATATTGAAAAAAAATTGTCATCTAATAAAATCTATATCACTAGGGATTTCAATCACTGATACAAGAATAAAATTACTCTAATAAATGATTGACCAAAGCTAAATTATAAATAATAAGTAATTTTGTATGAACATTTCAAAGTAATACTATTTTTTACTTCATTTTCCATAATATTGATATAACTATCCATATACCTGTGAGCGTGGATTAATGCATTGAACGCTAAACCATTACGCCACGAAGTAGTAAAGTTCTCTATCTTAACATTTGCATAATTAGCTGTTTTCCGTTGACACCACAGCAAAAGTGCGTCTTTAGCATGCTTCCTCTCTCCTGATTCTTCATCCATCTTCAATACAATTTTTTGTGCTATATTTCAATATTTGCGAATATATTTACTTTCTTAAAATAGAAAAATAGTTGCAAATAACTTTAAATAATTAATGTCAATATTAGCATATACAATATGCTTACCGGTATTGAAATGGTATCAATCTGAAAGCGAAGTATAATTGTCCAAATAAGTCCAAGAATAAGACGTTCATTTTGATCCAATATATCTTCCGCACCGATATTTTCCAGCTTTAATAATTCAACAATTTTTAATTCACAATAAATTTATAGTTAATGCAAATTAAACTACTCATTGTTACATTTCCATTGAGGAATTATATTCAATGCTTTAAAAAAAACTAATAATTCATTAAGCAAATTTGATTTCAATAACTAATAATTCACTATGCAAATTTGCTTTAAAGAACTAATAATTCATTATGAAAATTTCGAATTACGAAGAATTATAAAACATATTGGTGTTACTTTTTGATTTTATTTTAATTGAAATCATATAGGTAATATGCATGAAATATATACTGAAAATAAATGCAAATATAAATATACTAAATTATCACTGCAAGAAAAATAGATAATTGGCCATCTGTTCTACTTACCGTAATAGTGCCAAAATATATAGTAAATATATTCACATCTGATTAAGCACAAATAATTAATAAAAAGAAAGTAAAAAACAAAAAAGATACAATTTGGTTATGATCTTTCTAACAGTTCAAATGAAGTGTAAAAGGTCATGCTTTCAAATATATCATATAATTAAATAATAATAATACAAATACTGTAATAGTATAAATATAATTGAAATTCTTATTATGTTGATAATAATTTGCAAGTCAAATACATCATATAGACATAATACGACTATGATCTTTACAAAGCAAACAGTTTAATAATACTTATATAGAATTCATATTCTGGCCATCATAACTAGAATTTTATCCTCACTTTAAATATATTAAAGAGATTCAAATGATTTTGTTTTTTAAAAACTTTACCTGAATACGTTTCTTTTTTAGAAAATCAAGCGTCCTATTTAGATTTTCAATTTTTTGAACTCTCATTCGTCCTCGATTAGGTTTACCAAGCTTTTCGCTCGAAATAATTTCTAATAATTTCATTAGTAATACACCATCTCCAACATCCACAAATAAATCTACTATTTCTAGTCGTGCCTAAAAATATTCCACTAATATCATTACTATTGTTATTATTATTACCGATATTATCAAAAACATTATTAATTATTATAATTGCCATTATCTTTCATGAAGCTGCATGAAGATGAATTCTCTATTGTAATGTATACTATGGTAATAATTCTTTAATTTTCACGCCTTATTTGCAACAACTTTTGATAATTAGAAGCATACATCAACTCATTAAAACAATTTACAAGCTTAAAAGCTTTCAGATATGGCTTATAGATTAGTCTTGATTTAATTAATCTAGATCGTGGGGACTTTGAAAATCCAAATAATATAAATAATAAATTACATCAAACTTGAAATTTATAAAATATATTTTATTTTATAAGAAGAATAGATTACCCTGCTGAGAAATGAATTACACCATTTCGTGAAAGTTTTCTTCTGAATATGAACTCGTTCATCTTGAAGTTGCTTGATACGATTCCGTTCGAAGGATAATGTAGGGTCGTCAATGTCATCGTAATCATCCATTGGTGGTATTTCTACCTGGCTTTTCTCATATCCATTTCTGTTAACCCGTGGAACTTGAACCTATAAAAATTTTCAAAAATATAAATTAAAAAATAATAGTACAATTACTATCATAATTGTAAAATAAACATGATTTAAATTTTTATTACGTTCATAATAATTTGCAAGTTTTCAATGATCTCAATGTTACTGAGTAAAAATTAATCACAATAACAATTAATACAGTCTAGTATAGTAATCAAAACAATAATCGATATTTAAAAAATAATCATTTCAAATTTTTATTTCTTATTATAATCAGTGATAGTCAAATAAATTCTAAATTTTTTAAATATTCAACATAAATGCATAAATCAACAGACTGAACATACCTGTATTTTGTATTTTGGCATTTTATTCGTCTTCTTTTATCATGAAAATGATGAATAATAATTGCACGAATATGGGATAATAATAATAATAACAATATTATTATTATTATTATTATTGCTCTCTAAACAGCGTTAAATTATGCCATACAAAAATTACGTGAATATTTTCGCACCAAAGTAGTAAATACGAGGCAAGAAGAGAGAACTGACCTGAATTTACTCATATACTATTATTTTTTAAATTCCTAATCAATTGAATTTATTTTCAGGTCTCGCAAGAAAAGGACACGCTTCATTTGAATGATAACCTTGATATTACTTTCAATAAAAATAAAAATGTGAAAAAAAAACAATAAACTACTGCAAATGTAAGTACAAATATGGACGGTATGTATTGTATATGATAAGATAACAAGGAATGCTATAGGAAACAGAAATCAGTAAATAATTATGAAAAAAAAAGTATACAGAGAATAACAACGATGAAAATAATAATGATAATAATAGTGGTGATGATGATGATGTATAAGAAAAGAAAAGGCAATAGCAAAGTAATAGTTATGGGCGGATTTCGTGTACAAGATGAGGTCAGGTCAAGGTCAACCTCAGCCTTTTATAGAAACATAAATATGTTTGCAAGTTGTAGTATTATATACTGATGATAATGAAGAATGTGCTGATATGAATGGAATGGAATTTCGTGCTCTTTTAAATTCTCTTGATCAAAATTGATTAAGAAAATATGTTCTGATCAGTGATTTTAATTACAGATTTCTATCAATTTATTCATGCCTTACAAAAATTAAATATTAACTTTTTTATTTAAATAATTCATTGATTTAAATTTTCAAATTTATATTTTATTTAATGAATAATATTTGATTTTTGATTTTAATTACAAACACAAAGTATAACCAGTTATTTATGGGTTTTAGTTCCAAATTTGTTTCATTAAAGTCTTAGCGTAAAGTATTAGCCCAGAATTTATTTCTTTAATTAATACATTTTTCTAAATATCATTGATCAAATAAAATATTATTATTAATTAAATAAGATATAATTTTCAAATTCAAGCAAAATTTGAGACTACAAAAAGTATTTGAACTCTTAATTTTATCACAACAGTTATTAAAATCTTTTTTGCTTTTTTTGCTACATAAATGACAAATTTAAACTTAACAGAATTGATGAAATTGCATCTAAAATTAAGCAAGTAATTCAATTCCATTTTTTAAATCTGAAACTGAAATTTTAGAATGACTGATTCTTGGCTAATATTTTATGTATATAGTAAAGTGGATTTAACAGAATTAAATATTAAATGAAATATTTATATAAGCTTTAACCTTTAACCTCTAATAAAAGTTAAATAGTAAGGATTATTCAGCGCTTTGACTAGTTTTTGATGAATGATTCAATCATTTGCTTATTTTTTTCCTTTTTTCGATTTTGTAAACATAAATCTTTTGCATACAAAATATTCTGTATGAAAAGCTGAATAATTTGTTAGTATTGTAAGCAAACATCTATTTAATCCATCTATGCACCATTTCACGAAAGTTTTAAAATTAAAAAAGTATTCGATAATAATAAGGGAAAGATTGAGAGTGACAGACATACAGAAAATAATAACATTTTTGAATAAAAAATGTTTGTGCAAATTTTGGTCTCATTTTGGGGTATAAATCTTTTTCAGTAAATACTAATCTTATTGCTAATCAATTTAAACAGTTAATTTTTCGTGAAAATTTACTCATTCTAAAAAAACAGTCAGTTTTTGAGGTTAAGTTTAGATTTTCTGATATTAAAGGTCAAATTGTGCTGATTCATCAAATGTTATGGACTGAGGTAACACTATCCATAATGAAAACTTTAAACGATAATTAATCGATAAAAATAAATAAAAATACTTAATATAGATCAGATAGTGGCATGCCTATACATCAAAAGACGACGAAATGCAATTTTTTTTGAATACATCAAACATTTTCACCTTTCTAACAATATGTGTGATCCTGAACGGTCTTGACGAAAATTCTCTAATTTGTATTTTGCTAATCTAGTCAGTTCTAATCAATAGACCGATAAATTGATCAATCAATTGATCAAATCGATCGTTTAATTTGAGTAAAATGGAAAGGGAAAGAAAAAGGGAAGGCAAGGCAAGGCAAGGCAAGGAATGAATGAGTCAAGGGCAGTAGCAGTTAAGGGCAGAAATAGTTGGCTATAAAACGAACGAAAAACGAAAAAATGTGAGCCGATGCAAAGGCTGTACACATATTTTCATCGATTCGAAAATTGTACAAAAAAGATAAGATGCAATTTTTGAAAAAAAAACATAATATTCTCATCTTTGAACCTTTATCTTACCCTTATCCATATCAATTTCATTCTTACATATAACATATGAACATCATACATTTTATAAAATACATAAGTACGTGAGTAACACGTAAAACACGCAATACCATAGAAACCGAGAGTAATAATGTAAATATTTTGTTACATTGAATATTTGTTTAGAATTAGAGCAGTCGACATATGGTAAAAGTCTACATAAATTTTATTTTTATTTTTTTAGGTATGTTCAAAAACAACCTATAACGATATTTTAAAGGGTCAAAGTTCATCTTATCAATATCCCACATATTTAATTTAACAACAAAATGGTATCAAGAGCACATTTTACTAATTAAAAATTTGAAATTGAGTAATATTCTGATTGTATTCAAAAAAATATTGAGATCATTGTATAAAATCAAATTTTTGAACAAATCATTTTTGTACTTTTGAATTTTTATAAAATTATTTTTGTATTTTCTATCTGAGTAATTTAAAAAGACTGTTTTCTTTCATTAATTTTAATAATAAGCAAATTCTGTATTTTTTTAATAAGCAATTTCATTAATTTTAATAATAAGCAATAATGTTTAAGACTCAAATTTAGCTCATTTTAT